TGTTACAACTGTTCCTGGAGGTAGAGGTACACTGCCCAGAATGTGATAATAACGTGAGTGTCGAGTGATCATCTGCTCATAATCGACCTTCTGAGCACACAAGAGTTCATTTCATTCTCGGTATCACCCCAGGGATCCACACCAGTCACAGCTGGTGCAAAGAGATATAAGACATACTGCCCCTTTGGCTCCAGGATTATTCAATTCACAGGTTAGCGCTGCTAGGGAGCAGCAGAGATGCCCTCACATGCCACTTAAAGGTGTTAAATTGGCACACATCATAGTTGCCCTGGTCCTCCTCTCAGAGAAGAATTTAGGTCCTTTGGAACATGCTATCCACCATGACAAAATTTGCCACTGACATTTGAAGAGTAGGTTAATGAACAGAAAGAAAGAAAGAAAAAAAAAAAAAAAAAAAGAGTGGAGAGACAAGGTAAGACCTGTGCTTAAACCTTTATTCACACAGGATACCCTTAGGTCAGACTCACCGTTGCCTTTCAAATATGATGCTAGAACACACTGGGAATTCCGTTTTTAAATAGTCCGCTCACCCCTTACTCCAATAAATAGTTGCACCTTGCAAGCGTATAGCGCTGCTAAGTCAAGCTGTTTAGCAAAGACATTCACTTCTGCACAGAAACTCAGCCCACGTGGTGCAGGAGAGCACAGCAGTGTGCTGTGACCCAGCTCTCAGCCAAGGGGATGAAGAAGACATCAGAACCAAAGAACAGGGCAGATACCATTTTTGCTATACCCCAGTAAAAGCATCCACCCAGTTCATTGGCTTTAATGTTTTGACTGGAAGTGGGAATAGTTTTTTAAAGCCTATTTTATCCAGTGAGAGAAGAAAAAGGGTATTACATGACTTTGCACCTTGGATGCTGTTTGTAGAGGAGCCTTAAGTCACAGCTGGACTCCTACAAATTATTTACTATTGCAAACTGATATCGAATATACAACTTGAGGCAGAATCACAGAGAGCGGGCTTCTATGTACACAGAACTAAGCTTCACATTCAGTCACATCTCTTCCAACTGACTGCAAGCATCTCTACAGTAAATATCAAGGCTCAAACACCCATTGGAAATTCATTAGCAAGCACAGCAAACAGCACTCCTGAAAACAGCATCATTCCATCCAGTGCAATGAGACATGCCCCACTATATTGTATGTTCAAAGAGGGAAGGGCAATCCTCTTCTAAACCTAGCTTCTCATGAACCTGAAACCAATCACACATTCCCTTTATAACAGCCATCTCTTTCGGTGCTGCCCTACAAAATCTACATCGTATCACCACCACCTTAAAGGTCGGCTGCGGTATTTCAATAAATAGAGAAACCGTGGTTTCCTTAAACCACTTGAATTCCTCTTGCTGCAGTCATTTTGGTTCTCTTCTATTGGTCTTGCTTAGCTCACTTTCATATGAATGTCAAATTTTGCATTTGCTGTGTGCTGTCATCTAGACTCCCGCTGTAAAACAGTTTGTTTTTCCCCCAGTTGGTGCACCAGATTAGCATCCCCCCTCTTCCCCCTCCAGTACAGAATGTAATTAAAGATCATGGGAAAATAACCCGCACACACACACGAGTCAAAGTTAGAGAATTTCAGGTTTGGTTTTGCTTTCCAATTTTACATGCTCCACTTCACTTCTGTATATAAAGAGAAATATAAATGGCTTTGGTCATTGGATATCTATTAACTCCTTGTGCATCAGATCCTGTGAGGCAGAGATGACAGCAAGATCCACAGCAGCTTATGAGCACAAGCCCATGCCTTGCAGAATAGCACCCAATTCACGAAAAATTTGCCCAAATGGTTCTCTCTCCGCTTACTGCACAATGGTTATGAAACGTAAGCCAGAACCTGTCTCTATGTTGATAATGTACAGGGAGATGTTTCATGACCTGGATGAAATTTTTCATCCAAGAAGCCTGCCAGGATGATCACTTTGATAGCCTCGAAGCAGAAGAACCACTTGGGCCTGCAAAGGCCAGGACTGGAGGCGCAGTGGCACAGCTGGTTTAAAGCAGAGGTTGTTTTGTGAGTCCTCACTGCAGCAGTGGCACCTCCACCTCAGGTCTTCTGGTGTTAGGATGGAAACAACTGAGACCTTACTGTCTTTGGCTGTGGGGCTGAATGTCACCAGAAGAAAAATTAACTGCTTCTTAATTTAAAAAAAAAAAAAATGCTTAAACTGCTTCTACAGCAGGGATAAAAATATCATCAAATTGCCATTTCTCATCACAAGAGTAAGGAACAGGCAACTGTTGATCTTCAGTGTCTTCTGACAGGTTCTGGAAAGGAAAAAACCCACCAGGTCATCTTCCACCGTGAAGGCAGGTGGTGGTGGGGAGGCAACTCAGGATCCACATCCCAAGGTCTACCACAGCTAAATCATATTGCAGTTTGTCTCCTTTTTTAAAAGGAGAGAGAGGGTAACAGAGGTCACTGAAAAAGATGATGTTCGTGCCACATCATCTGACACACAGTGTCACACAGACAGAATTTATGACTTGCCCAACCTGAACAACATTGTCCGTGGTGGATTTCTAGGAAATAAACCCAGATATTGTGATGCTTGCTTAACTACAAAATTCCTCCCTCTCCCTCAGACAGGGAAGAAAGTAGATGTTCACCTTTACTGATGTTCTACTGTAATTATTTTTTATGGCGATTCTCCTCCATTAGTTAGAGGATCATAATGGAACAAATAGAAAAATGACCTCAAGCCTGAGTATTCTGCATTGTAATCTAAATTAAACTAGCATTACAAATCTGTTTACATATCTCAGTTGAGCTATGCAGTTTCAAAAGTTACTTGCTGAACGTAAACATGTCTCCTGATGCTACATTACCAACTATATGCAGTAAAATATATTCTAATGTAATATAATAAAACTGAAAAACCAATAGATGTTACTATTTATTGAGAAATTGGACAAAAAATAGCTTATTGTCAGTTTTTAAAGACTGGAAATCAATAGATGATGAAAGGTTGTATTTTTTTCTTACTATTAGACTGTTGACTCCAGCAATAAGTGAGATATGGATTACAACTAGGGGAGTAAAGAACTGGTGAGACATACAATTTGGAGCTTCTTGGGTTTTTTAGAAACTTAATTCCTAGTATTTATGCAGCAGCGGCCATCTTGGCACCACTGTTAATGGGCCCCAAGAGCATAGCTCCCCCATTTTGTTGACAAAGCCAGCTTTAAGTATCTTCCTGTCTTTAAGAGCATTTCTAAATTAAGGGGGCTCTTAATCAGACTTGCATCTCCTAAGGATCATGAGTAAAGGAGATCCAACTTTCACATACATTCACATCCTGCCAATGAAAAAAAAAAAATAAAAATCCTCCAACAACGTAATGAAACTCCAGCTATTGCAGTCCCACCTCTCACGTGCCTGGATTGAGCCCACCCAGCTGAGCTGCAGAGTGGGCTCCCCAGGTCTGCGTAGTCCTCACATAGCAACAAACACAGCCCAATGCCAGACAGAAATTAGGTTAAATCAAAGGTTTGGTTTGCAAAGACCTTTAGCTTTCACGCGTTTCTGAGCCTGCTGCCCTTCCTCACATGTGTAAGGTTTTCAACATCTGGGCACCAAGTGCAGAGGTCCCATTCGAATCTACCATCTACACGTGGCTGAGCTTTACCCTAAAGATATGGGTGAAGAGAGATCTGGAAAACAGATTTTAAGCACCTGTTTTCCCAGCAGAATTTATGCACAGGAGTCAGTTTAAAACCTGAATTTCTATATTCATTAAACAAAAAGCACACAACCGTGTAGAGGCTGAGAAGGCATTCTTGTCTCACAGTGCAAACATGTTAAAATGGAATACTAAAAGAAAATATGCAGTGATAAAAAACACTGAGCTAAACATAAACACTGCATCCAGAGTCTTTAAATAGTGATCTATGCCAACGGTTTTCCAAGTGAACCAGTAGGTATGACCAGTACATATAAACCCAAATATAGATGTTCTACCCTGACTGTATTTCTAAACTCTGGAACAGAGTTTGAAAGGATGCCAATTATAATGGGGAGTTAGGGCTGCTTTTAGGATTTATATTCTCCTTGTACATTTCATAGTCATACAGCAGCTCAAATCTTGCTAGATGGGGGGAATGCAGTAAAAGCCTATACTGCCTTCAGATACACAAATGTACTTCCCTGTGAAAGTGGACAGTGACCACTGGGCCTGGATGTGACAAGGAACTAGTAAAGCCGGCTGATGTGCTTGTGCAGTACCTGATTTTTATAAGTGCACAGAGGTGTGCGGTTATAAGTCTACAGAAGAAAAAACGTGCCGAGACCTTGAACTAGCTGACAGTGTGCAGAAGTGGCCATCCTACTGCTGGCCTGAGTCCTGCACTTCCATAACCTAAAACTTTTGGTTCAAACTGAGGAAAACACAGAGATCACTAATTTTCATATCATGGTTTCCTTCTGTTTTCCCAGGTAGAAAGAGGGGGCTGTTACCACATATGCATAATCACATACCAGAAAGAGATTCATGTTGTTCCTGTAAGCTTTTGCTTAAGCATACCATGGAAAATAACTTTGATGAAATAATTTGCCCAGAGCACTGCTTGTCTGGAAGACTTCTATAATTTAACTGCAGTGCTGTAAATAATTTGGTGATAGACAAGCCATCAGCATAATTTGGTGCTAGACCCATGCAACGTTAAGGAAATGGCCAGCAGGCCAAAACTTAAATCTGAACTGGGTCCTAGTACGTACAAGGCACATTAAAAACCCGTCCAAATCTATTCTTTTTTGGAATCTGCTTATGCAGTTTAAAGGAAGACATTGAATTTTGGTTTGGGAATGAGCACAAAGAAATGTCATGCTTCCTCTCAGTGAAGAAAAGAACACCCACACACCGTTAACCCTACAGACCTCCATAAAGATGTACAGTATTTTTGCACGATAACATCCCAAACTACTGCCACAGCATAATTATATAGCATAGCATTTTGTACTGCTGCGGAACTACCGGTAACTTTCATCAAGTCTCACAGTTCTCCTGTGTTGTTACCCTGTAAAATAGCAAAAGCTATTGCCCTGATTTTTAGTCAAGCCTTAACTGAGACTGCAAGATAAGAGGTACAAAATTGTATGCATGGTACATTGCACCTTTAATCATCTACCCACCTGAAATACTCAAGCAAGTAGTTAGACATCTAAATGTTCCAACTACAGGCTTAAAATAAATGAGTTTTGTAGTACATGAGTACTACACATTATTTGAAAATTGGGGTTCACATCCCTTCTCAATGTAAGTATCACTTCAGACACAGGCAGATCAGAAACTCGAAGTCAGTAGCAGAGCCAAGACCAGGCCCAAGATTTAGTATTTCAGCTGATAAAGGGGACACCCAACGACTACAGGACGCTTCCCATTCACGCTTCATGTCTGAACAAACATTTTTCCACCAGAAATGTCCAGAATCAGCATTTCCTTCCTCCATCATCAGACTGTAAATCAAGACATGTTCTGGAAGCCTCCTCTGATTTTTAGCAAATGAAAAGGAAATGGCAGGGAAAATAATCATAAAACAAGGCAACAAAGCCATCCCTCTCAGCTTTACTGAAAAAAATGCCTCAAGAAGCAGCCACATTTATACTTCTTTTTCAACTGAAAAACAGAGAAGGAGGTGAAGTAGATGGGTTAAAAGCCAGCAAAAAGTAGTATAAAAAAGCCCACCAGGTATTGTTGCAAGAACCTCTAGATAAGCATCTTAAATCAGGGTAAATTACACACCTCATGCTGGTGACTCGGTCATGGGAAATTATGAAGCTACGTGATGTCTCATTTGTTGTGCTGAAAACAAATGTAAATAAATTACTGAGAGAATCTCATTTACATTTAGAAATTCATCCCGATGCATGACATGACTGCTGATGTTTTTTTAAATGACACTTTGAGAAGAAGTACCACTATTAAAAACAGATCATAGCCATCTTAGTGAGAGCCTGTGCATGCGTGCGTGCACGTGTGTGTGCGTAGGTGCATGAGTGTGTAAAGGCAGATGTTCTAGAGAGATCTTTCAGATCACTGGGAAAAAGGCTTTCTTTTACGGTTTCAGAACCAAAATGGTGGTGTCAGAAGACAAAACCATCAATCTGTATTCTTCTGTGTATTTTCCCCCTCCAGAGTGGGAAACAGAAAGACAACGTTATGGATTGGCTGCTGCCAGTACAACAGAAAGTGCAAATACTAAAATCGTAGGAACAGAAAATAGTGTGGCATGTCTCTCCATCATCAAGTGTAATAAAACTTCCCCTTAAATTCACACACAAAAAGCCTTTCGCTAAGCTTTTATCTCCCCCCTGCAAGTCTCACATTTTAAGCTGTCACTGAAACAATTGAGAAGGATATCCAGGAAGCCATAAGATGGAGAGCAAGTTGAACCGTGGTTAGCTAAGCAGCATACATTCAGGCAAATATCCAAATGCTTTAGGAGCTGTCATTCTCCATCCCGCGTGGGAAGGCTGTGAAGAGACGGACTTGTTCGTATCATGATTGCTCTTATTATTACAGCAGTGAAAACACTGCATACTAATGGACGTGTTTTCAGAAAGACGACTGTTAGATGGCTTTTTAGACTCTGTGCCTGGCTGTCTGGGCTTCAGCATCTGATACCTCCTATCCCTTTCTTTGCTTCCCAAACAAAACTCTAAAAAAAAGTTTGTAACATGAGGGTGAAATAAAACATATTTCCAAATGGGGACATGACCGTGCTCTACAACCCCACATACGGCAGCATATTTACATAAGCCTGCATAGGTCAGAGAGTTTATTTGTTAAGGGACAAATAAGCAGGCCATGAAATAATTATTTTTCATTGTGCCCTGCCAAACCTACCCAGCCAAAGGCTAAATTGAGCTGCTATTGTGATTATTTGAACTGTGGAGCCAAAAGTCTTCACAGCAAAGCATCCCAGCTGTCCTAAATTTTATTCTGATGGCTAGTTTTCACGCTAGCTTGAAACTTGCCAAAAATGCTCCACAAAATAGGCAGGCGGAAGGCTTGCTTTTATCCAGACCTACATCAATTACTGATTTAGAGCTGTTCTGAGAACTTGATTATTAACAAATCACTTCCCGAAATTGTTATGACAAGATTCACATATGCAAATGGCAAGCTGCTCATATGTACACAGCTAGCGAAAGAAATTAATATAAAGGATCCCAGATTTATTTATGGTTATTTTCTATTGTGCTTTACTGCAAATTAGCTACTAAAATATTAAAAGAAAAGGGCGAGATCCAGCCACAGCACCACAGCTTTGACGTACGGCAACATGGGAACACCCAGGCCGTGACTGCTCAACATGCTTCTGCCTTCACCCACCTCCCTGCGGAAAAGGATCTACCAGCGCCTTCAAGGAAGCAAAATCACCACGGTAGTTCCCAAGCTGCAAATTTGGTTAGCACACCAAGGAGCAGGTAGGATTACCCTGAGAATAGCTCAGATCACAGGCTTGGGAGGATATTTCATACTTTAAACAAGGTTGACTGTGGAGGAAGGGGAACAACAAATATATTTTTTTTAAAACCTCATGCTTCAAAGCTTAAATTAATCCCTAATAATGAAAGATTAGGATGAGAACATGTAGAGAGAAGATTATCCCATGTCTGCCCATTGTGAGGCTCTTACAACTTTCCTTGAGGCGCCTGGGGTTGGTCATTGCTAGAGAGAGCACAAGAGGCTAGAAGGATCTCAGGAGCAATTCATTTTGTACTTTCTACATTTCTGTTTAAATAACTAAGACACAAACGAAAGACAATGAGGCTAATTGTTTTGAAAGCAGCAGACATAAATAAATGAAATGCCCATCATTTGGTATCAGGCTGTACGTACCGCAACCTCGACGAGACAAGTGCACCTCGCTGCAGCTGCCCTCCTTCTCCTCCACACTTCCTACTATTTTTTTATCTTGTTTGTAATTTCACTGTAATATCCTCAGGGCAGCAACCACTCCACATTTACACATGAATTAGAACAACACCTCACACAATGGCATACCAGTCCTGATTGGACCTGGACTGCTCCTGGGAATGCTGCTGGGAATGCTACTATAAAAAGAGCTCATAAATGTATAGAGTACAGCACAGTAACACACACACCCACACACCCCCCTTTTATCATAGTTAACATCACCGGAGTGTTAACGCTTTGTTTTCCCAATAAAACTGTGGATGGTTTCATTTATTTCTAAGTTCCAAGATGGCTGCAGGATGTGTAGCTAAGATCCAGCACACCTTCACCAGCGTACTCTGTGAAGTTAGGCATTTACTATGGATGTCTGTTATTTACTGTTTAATAAAATGACAGAAATGTTATGGAGTCTCATTATAGATGTCAAGCTATGAGGTTGAATCTTGCTTAGGATTTGCGTGGAAGCTGATCCAATGACGAGCTGGGGACATTCAGGACGAGGAACTAAAGGAACCCACATCAGTGACAGCCACATCACCCCTGTGCACCCGTTACAGACCTACTGGGTCTCAACCCAATTAGCCCAAATTCCCTTCTAATCTCCTTCCTTCCTTGGGAGAGGCTTTTAACCTTTGAGTTAATATTTTAATATATTCTGGAATCTGAAATCTTGCATATAATAAACTAGTCATTTTCTGGTACTTCAGATATAAACAACTCCAATACAAAATTTTACTTCCTCTGGTATTCAGTCATTTTATTTTTAACTGAAAATATAATTAATAGAAAGATTTGAAAATCTTTATCAACATATTTCCATTTTTCCTAACAATTCTGACACATCAATTATTTTGTAGGACTTTTTTTCCTAAAGGACTATGAATGGCCAATGTGGTTCACAAAGAGCAAAAGGAAAAGGAAGGGAGTGGGCGCAGGTAAGGTGTCAAATCAATAAATTACTTGAGTACGTGCATAAGTTCAGGCACCCGAGCCCCCTTTAAGGTCAAGTTCCATGTTGGAGTCACTCATTCCAATATTCAATATCTAGAAAAAAATGGAAGAAATAGCCAAAATGTAAAATATATTAGAAAATCTTAATTAGAATAGAATGGCTACTTTGCCAGGCCTGTATTCTGTGTTTGTATGGCACCAGAAGTTCACCTTAAAAATCTACCATACAGACTACAGCAATTGTATTAATGTCTCTCTCAAAATAAAATAAAAAAATGTACTAATGACTTTTTGTTGACTACCCATTGATCGACCTCTTATTTATTAGACTAAAAACTCTACGCAATCAAATTCTGTCGAAAAATCCACAATCGTAATTTCTTTTTCTCTGGCTCCTGATGGGTTGGTAGCATTACAGGGCCTTCATTTGCTTTGCCATATAACCTTACACAGAATGCAAGTTTTGTCCGTGCCATAAATATGGAGAGTTTCTGTCTCGCAGAAACATGACCCTCCTTGTTGGACATTCTCAGTCTGAGCACTTCAGCTTCTCTATGAACTTCCCACAACTAGTGACTCAACTCGTTTCTTTTGCCCAGTGCACCCGCGGCTCTAACCAAAGCAAATTCTACCCAGTGTCGCACTTCCACTCCGGAGGAAAGACCATTCAGGAATAATCTTTTTACTTCTACAAAAATAGTAAGAGACTGTGGTCTATGTGGAATAGGCTACTGACAACCCTGCACACACTCAGTCATAGTCAGATATGTGACAAAGTCCAATGAAATCCTATTAGGGAATAATACAAATGACAGAGCTTAAAGAATACAGTTAGCTCCTAATTAAACAGCCCATAAATCTGTTCAGAACTTACAGAATTTATCACCAGAACAGGAATCTCAAGACCTTTCACAGAGTCTCATTTTAACAAACCTGTTGTCCACTGAACCAACAACTCTCTTGCCTACAGATGAGATATTTCACCAACTTAAGTACTATTAAAGGATGATTATGCACTGAGCTTTCCTGAAATTGTATAACATTTGCATGGTATAACACATACTCTTACTTGTTCGCTGCAGTCTGATTCAAAGCGCTATAAATATGTTTGCCCTTTCTGCTAAGCCCGCCTAAGGGATTAGCAACCCCCCAAAAGTTCAGTTGAATATTAACTGCATTAACTTTGCAGACTGTAACATACTGTTACACTCAAACAGCCTACGGTGCAGTATGGATGACTTGCTTAATAAAAAATGTTTTCATGCAAAACCCTGTTGCTAGAAAAAAAGAATTTGTTCTGTCAAAGGGGGTGACCTCTTCCATTCAACTTCATAAAGCAAACAAATAAAAGGGAGATCTTTACAGGGATGTCCAGAGAAACACTTATCATTTTGTCTGTCAAACCAGATGGACTTCCCTTGGCAACACAGCACCAGCTCCACTCTACATTAGAAATTAAGTCAGTTCACCATGGAAAAAACCCTGTGAAACAAAGTGTCATCCACTGTAGTAGTGTGAAGTTAAAAACTAGAAAAGAAGTATGACTGTTTGCTTACTTATTTTGGTAAGTAAGTAGTGCTTTGCGTGCCAACTCCCATAAAAATCACATGTGCCAAAAGACTTTCCAGCACAAAGTTATGCAGCAGTGAAGACAAATAAAAGGAACAGGAAATATTTAAAAGTTGGAAGAGGGAGAGTTGATAGGAGTGTAAAAGGGAGCCAACTTGATTGCTAATGCCAGAAGTCAAGGAAGAGCAGGTTCTTAAACCTCCTAAGTAAAAAGCTCCCAGGCAGAGGGTAACTGGCAGTATCTGATCAAAAGATGAAGAAAGGCACAGAGAAAGAGGAAAATGGGAATGGCTGGGACAAGTGTCTGAAGGTTACAAGGTATAAAGTGGGACCAGCAGAGTTGCTTGAAGTATCTAATAGATTAACATACTTTCAAAGATTAAAAAACCCTCCTTCATTATAATCACAGTTATACAAAAATGTAGAACATATCTATTATCTGCTGAAAATAAAATTGCATAATACACTTTCTTTGCTTTTATAAAAATAAATAGATGAAACAAACCTCTATGTTGCTGTGGGAACATGCAGAAACTCTCAAAAAGACCTTGATACCGAACGCCACAACGAAACCTTTCTCACTCGGTCTTCAAGGATCCCGTATGTATCAAGTTGTAAAAACACACTCTCCCATACGAGGAGTCTTGGGTGTAATCAGAAATTAAATCAAAACTTTAAGAATTAGAAACCATATTTCTCCATAATGCTGTACACTTACTTGCTTCTGCCATTCGCCATCACGATTATGTTGTCTAGAAATGGAGACCAACAATAGATGTCGGTAATTACGCAAGAACTTAAACTGCAGAGAGCCTCAGACCACAGCATTAAACTGGCATTAAAGCTTTACAGGAAAAGAGAAATGTTTTACTCCCTGCAATCACCTCCCTTCCTTACACACACACACTGCACACCTGCTACCCACCAGCCAGATGGGACTGAATTCTCCTGAATCAGATCTTGGATTTTTAAGCTCAGCTTGAGTTCAATTGGATTTCAAGACATCAAAATATATTATCATTTCACATTTAAAAAATTACATCAGTGTCCAGGACCTCCTAGCTTCAGTGTTGTTTGCACAATTAGATATGTATTAAAGAGGGATTATTGCCCCAAATGTACTAATACAAATAAATAAAATGCAGCTTTGCAACAACATTTAATTTTATTACATATGCTCACTTAATGCACAAAAAAGAGAAACAAGCTGATTTTATACCATCAGCACGTTAAGTGAAATTGGGAATTTAGCTAATCTGTAGTGACCAGTAGTGTTTTTTTTTTTAAAGTCCATAAAAGCAATTTAGCAACCCAAACTCACTTAAACATTGTAGGAACTGGCCCTTAATGTACAGGTATCATAAAATATTAACACATTAAGAAAAAACTGGGAAGCATTATATTCCTAGAGAATTTGCTAAGCTTGCATAATGTAAAATTTATCATCAATAAAGTTTCTTCAGTTAAGAGGCCTCTAGCCTGTTCTTCAGAAGGAGGTCTCTCTCTCTCTCTCCTCCAGCAGCACAGCCCCACTGAGTCCCTCCTTCCTGCACTTCAGTGGGCTGCTCGCAACTGGTAAAGTCGCATTTTTAATTGGGACTGGCCTCCAAACTAGTCTTATTCCACCTTTTCCATCGGTCCTGAAACCAATCTGAGACTTGCAGGGGGTTAACGAGTCATCAGCCAGGAGCAAGGCGTTCTCTGCAGGGACCGCGGGCATCTGGAAGCTGCTGCCGGTGGTGTTCCGCCAGAGCCGCGTCTGGCAAGTGCCGAGGCGCAGAAACGCGAGTCCTGCTTCCTTGGCCAGCCTCGGACTGACCTTTAGTCATAACGGGGAACAGGAGTTTTGTTAGTGAACACAGAGTTCTGGTCTACACATTTTTTAAATTGATTATTTTATTGATGTAAAGTGCCCAGGTGCCCTCATGACAGTCACTAATATAGATTTTGAAAATAAAATTAATTAAGGGCCAGTCTGGACCACCTTTACTGTCATCATGTAGTACCCTTTCCTACAAGTAACAATGCTATCACCCAGCAAGCACAAGTATAGTGTTTGTAGAGTATTTCATTACATCTCAAAACACTTGACTACGGAGGTCAAGATCACTCTGCCTATCTACACGCGTGCACGCACACACACATGCTCACTCGCTCTTCTCTCCTACCTTCCAAAAGGGGAACTGAAGCCCAGAAAACTTAACTGACAAAAGTCCGTGCCGGAGTGCCAGCTGTGCCGCACCAGGCTCTGTCCCTCCAGCCCGCGGCGAGAGCATGGCACGGCACGAGCCTGAGCGGGAGCAGAGCAGCCTGGCACACAGGCTAATCTGAATTACACTCATCCAGCCCTTGAAATGGTTCCTCATTAGCTGCGGGTTAATGGAGTCCCAATGAGTAGTGTTATTTTCATCCCCTGCCTACTGAACACAAAATTCATTTGCAAATATCCTGTAAAATACTGCAAAGCAAGCCAAAGAGATATGACAACATAAGAGGCATACTATTTATGGAATGCACTTACCGTCATTTAGAAAAGGAAGCTGACATGAGCAACAGCCTAAATTTAGCAACACATTTAGTTTTTATTCACTAGTCACAATGACAACATTTTAGAAGGCTACCGCACACCTTGTGCACTGAAAGGTTCCACTGAAATCAAGACAGACTTTGATCTGAAAGGAATTCGGGATCAGCTCCTTAATGAATACAACACTGAGTTAAATTAAGGCAATCACCATCTTGACTTTCTATTCCAAGTAGATATAAAATTACATTGATTGCAGGAAATGGTGGCATTCAAACAATATTGCAATGGCCAAAGCCTGAAAGCTAAATTCATTGTCGAGCTAAACTAGGCTTTCAGAGGGCACCATTTGATTTGAGAGAGAAAAGCATCTACAAACCACATATTTTCAATTAATAGTTTAAAAGGCATAGAGTAAGAAAGGAAAAACACTCGTCAATATGCCACATGCCACTCAAACAAGCAGAGTCTCTGCATGTAGATACTGTGTGTGTATATATATATATATACACACACGGGTGGGTGCACGCATGTGTGTTTGTGTTTTTTTAAGGCAGGCTGTATTACAAAGGCCGAATTTGAGATCCAGAAAGAGGCAGTGTATTTCAGAACAGCCCAAGAATGCTCTTTTAGTCACACTATCTTTAATTCAAAAGTAATTTCAAATCAACAGTGCGCAAAGTTAAACCTAGTTCTCTTGAAAACTCAGAAAAAAAATTAATTCGAACCCTTACCTTTGGCACCTTAAAGACTTTTGGCCATGACTTACCTGTATAAATAGAAAGAACTAATTTGCTACAGAAATGCCCATGGGCAAACATGTTCTGGCTAATGAAGTGTTCAGCTTTTGCATGATTAACCAGCTGGTGGGGGTGGTGTAAAAATCACAGGGCATAAAATAATAAGAAAAATTGATTAGCAGCTCTCTTTTAAAGCACTCTACAAAAAAAATTCCCTTATTTTTGCTCAGCAGTTTGGAAAGTGACTGTACAGAAAGATAGACTTGAATGACTTACCAAGGAGCCAGGCAGAGACTGCACCAGGCACTCACTCCTCCAAGACCTGCATCGCAGAGAGGTTCAAATGAAAAGCGAGATACCAACCAGCGCCATGGCTGGATTACTTATACAACAGGTCCTGCCACTAGTCATAAAGGTAATTCTCTACTATATTGCGAAAGACAAAGTTAAAACTATGACTATTCTTTGAGTCAGTTCAGTTTCTTCCCCAGTGCTCTACCTTTGAGCACCTTAGCTGACTACAGCTACTGCCGTAAGCCAATGTAAGAAGTGCCTCCATATGAGCCAAGGGATTCATACGCTACTTAGAAATAATGCACACATTTAGGTGATGCTACGTAAGGAAGATGGGTTTTGCACTCACTAGGGACAAAAATCCCCTTGCTCTTCCCATCCTGCACAAAGGGTTTCTTACAAGCTCACATGCTCTGCCCTCAAAATAGGACCTAATTAGTGTCCAAATATTTGGCAGACAGGTCACGAAAATAAATTTATCGTTAACTGTCCCCTAAACCAAGGCAGGTTATCCTGAAGCAGTTTCACTTCATACACATTTGCTCTAGGTCCCTTCATTGGGGTACAACTGGCACGTAACAGTTTCTTTAAGAAGGAAAACTACATATTTTTATGGCACAGGATTACTTCAGAAATATGAAACAGCTGCTCATATAAAGCATATGTACCAGTAATACGAAACTGCAAAAATTTAAGCTACAGATAATTTGCAATAGGCCATAGTAATAATCACAGTCCTCTTCACCCTCATTACTGCTATGGAAAATGCATGTTTTACACCTGTTTATGGACTTTTAAAAACTGGTTTATAGCTATGTACCATGGGAGAAGCAGGCAAAGGATCTGCATCTCAGGGATCTGCAACGTATTCCAGCCCTGAGGATGCAGCCATAACTTCGATGCTGGGACATCATGGGTTGGGAACGTACGTTAACTCCCTTTGGCAATACACAAGCAGTCACCTTACATCCATGGCTGAACCATCTAACCGCAACCAGATCTTGCCTCCCAGTGCTTCACCTCTCATGGTATATGATATACCTTCATATGCCCAGCTACCTGGGTATGAATTCAATTCTTAAATCACGCTGGTATACCATGCATGCCAGGGCTCAAACTGTTCAATCATACTGTGGGATTCCTTGTGAGGAGTAACAATTTTACCTGAATTGAGAGTTATTGTGCGAAGAACCAAAGCAGAACTCTGAAGCCCTTTTCCCTTCTTTCCATGACTCCTCCATTTATCCTAGTTACCACTTTCTGAGGAAGACAATGTCCCTTTAAAAGCAGCAAAAGAGAGATTTTTTGTGCCCTACAGGAGCCAGGCAGATTATCCTGAGAACGTATCGCTTTGCGCATACACCATACTCTCCGCTTCACCCAAAGATTCACACGAGAGCATCGGTCAGGCTTACGCAGGTTAGATAACTACACAAGTATTCCATAGTGGTCTTCCTTTCTTATCACATACATCTGAGAAAGCTTGTCACTAACTTCACGGTCAGTTGAGACTTCTGACATCAAAGAGGTTTTTGCATGTTTTCAAGGCTCTGCTGAATAGGTGGATCTTTCCACACTTGCATAGTTCTTGCTTTTGAGCCTCCCCTAACCTTTTGGAAACATTTCTACATATTAACACTTGGGAAAGTGGGCATAGAGCTGACACAAGCAAACAAAAATAGAGGAAAACTGATAACACTGGCATGAAGCTACATTCCCCTCAGTTGGGAAAGTGCTATCTCCAGATAGAATTCACAATAAAATAGAAGTTTCTAGTTAAGCGAGAAGTGGTATTAAATTCCACTTGAGCCTAATTTCTATGGTCATATTTGAATCATGAGCAATTTCTAAAATGTCAGGTATTTCTAATTCCGATCAACTGGGACCCTGACAACACTGGAGCTTGGAAACTGTTTGAAGCTATTTTCAAAGGTGGTAACAGCCTAATGTCGTTGCAACACAATTTATTAATTGCAGCTGTACTTGCTAAGGTATTATGCTGTGGACTATCTGAGTAACATCATAATTTTGGCTAGGCTACTTGTTTAAAAAGTAAATAAAAAAAAAAAAGCCTGTTTGCCATAGAAAGTGAATTCTTGTTAAAATCATGTTGCCCCAAAGGAATTCAGAAATACAGCTACGAGGCACAGCTGTTTTACAGATGGAAAAAACTAATTCTTCAGACCTGTACGTTGTACTCCAAATGCTTTATTTAATTATCTGATTGTTTACTTATAAGCAATTGCTTTGGAAGAGCTCCCCAGTGAGTATATGCTGTGTGCTCTGCAGAGGGGTCAAGCACAAGATACAGGCTGCGGACTACAGGTTTAACTTCAAAGAACATGCATACACAAAGGTATTTAGGTGCCTAATTCCACTTGTATCAACTCTCAGTGAAATTGATAGAGAGTAAGCACCTCTGAGGACACAATCCTTTGACATCAACACGGATTCCTCATCTGGATCCAGGTCCATGCTTTTTTGGACAACAAAACAGCAGAAAACAAAAACCCATTTTTTTCTGTGGCCTCCTTATCCTCACCTATATTGAAGCTTCTCTAAGGTTGACCATGGTTCCCAGTAGAGGACAGAACGGCCAAACAGGTTGCTCTAATTAACCGGAGTTTTTCATACTAATTAGTAACAACAAGAGCATAAAGCAATCAATAGGACACCTTATGCCACTACTGCTTAAGTCTGCTTTGACTACCTCTGGTTCAGCCTTACCCTTGAAGCGTATTTGGAGGGTTCTTCCTGCCACCCTTCCACACACAGCATCAGTTTTTAGCAAGGATAATCTTTCCTATTATACTAGAAATTGATAAACAACATTGTTAACCTATGTGATGCAGCTAAAAAATCAGGTGTAAAGAGCACAATGAGGAGCCAAAGGATTTTTTTTTTAATGAAGTATTTTGATTACCTCTAACGTGATTATATACTTGACCAATGAGCAACATAGTATGATAGTCGCCCTGTTGCAAACAACTTGCATACAGAGCTGTGTAACACACCCATCCCACTCGAGCTCGAGGGGAACCGTGTGTGTTCGCTGGACGTTCAGCAACTTACTTCTAACTTCATACGAAAAAACAACTCCATGATTTATTCAAAAGTGATTTTAAACCCTTTCTGAATAACTTCTGAAGGACAGCTGGCAAGAAAGTAGCATGTTTGAAGAAGAGATAAATACAGAAAACCTGTAAACCATCTTCTCCAATTGAGAGACCGAACTGCTAAAATTAGTTCCTGGAATTTCTCCTTTGGGTGCCAGTTCGAGTCTTGTTCCAAATGACCACTAACAATCATCCTCACTTTGAAATAATCCACGACTAGTCAATAAGACCTATTTGCTGATTAGGTGCATGCAACCCCCTCACAAAACATCACACATTTGTAACCTTATTTTAAAAAAGGCACTTTTGTTCCAGTGTCCTGAAACTAACCATACAAACACAAAGAACTCAGATGCCCTCGCAGCCCCCACTGGAAGTGACAAGTGAGTCCTTCTAAAATTGCAGACACACACTGTCAAGTGCAGGTGTTTGTAAACAAGTTTGGAAATGTTTCTAATTATAAACCATAAGGGTTAAAATTAGAAGTCCAATCCGCTAGCTTTAAAAAAAGAACTTCCAAAAGGGTTCATCTAAATGAGAGCAACCAGTGATGTTTAATTTAGTCGCAAGAGCAGAATTTCTGTGCAGAGCGGCATACTGCTTTTCATCAAACTTTCCACTAAGTTACAGTACATTTCTTTAAAAAAAAAAAAAAAAAATTTGATAAGAATTTTAATTTGCTGTCACACTATGATACTGTATATTTGAATGTGCAATCTAAAAATATCCTATTAACAGGTCTCCTGCATTTCATGTAATTAAAAAGAAGAGAAAAAAAATGTTCCCAAAACTTCTGAATCTGTCTTGGCTGCCAACATCAAAGTTCAGCTTTTATGGAGAACTTCCCACGCTGACCTTCTGAGAACTCAAACCAAACTCTGCTTGAAGAAGCCTTACTCTTCTGGTTGAAGTTCTCCCTGATAACTGCACCTATTGCAAAGTCTGGCTTACCCTGCCCTGGCACAAACTGTGGAGGGATGAAACTGGGGAGGGCAAAAACCATCCCAGATCTCAGGATGCTGTCACTGAACTGGTGGTGTCTCAGTCTTGCTTTCACCATTCTGGTGTGGAGGTCAGAAACATAGGTCTAAGAAGCCACATACTTTGACTGGCACCTCAGACAAAGGTTGGAGGGAGGCTATTCCTGCAGTCCTTGTACACCCCAAATTGAGTTTACAAAGCACTATGATGAGATAGTGCAGGCAAAACGATGGACTTTACCTCTGCAGAAGCTTTGGGAGAAAGCAGAGCTTTTACCAGACTCAAAGGGAGAAGGCTCTCTTTTTAGAGAAAAAGAGAGGTTAATACTGGAATCTCTTGATCTTCACATTATTTCTTAAGGGAAATGTAACAGCACATTTGAGCGTGTCAGAAGAGCTTCAGCTGATTACAAGTGAGCAAACATGAAATAATTTCAGAGAGACTTGACTTCAGCCTCACTTCAAGCAAGGGGCAGTCTCTTGCTGTACTGTTCTGAGAAAGCTGGAATGGGAAATGGATTAAATGGTGAGGATCTGCTCCCAGAATGAGGTGGGACTGGCCCGGCTCAGCAGACATCCCTCTGCTCCACACCTACAGCACAGGCAGGGGCTGTGAGGGACAGGGGAACAACAGCTCTTTGACTCCTGCACAGCTGGCCTCCTCCTCTACCAGGATGCTATATGACAGAGGGAAAACCCAAATCCTCAAAAACCAGGACAGAAAGTAAGTTGCCCTTGTCCCATCACACTGAGGGAGCTAGTTCACATAATAACCACTATCCATCCTTTCCTTTTTCTTCCCTTCCTTTTCTTTTTAGTATTCACTGTGTAAAAATCATAGCAGTTTCTACATTTTTTCTGGACAGCATTTTGGAGCTCAAGGCCTTCAACAAACATGACCTTACCAGTTCAGTGCCTATCTCGTAGCCAGCA